TGAGGAAACCCCTTTGCAGTAATGTCCATCCCGATGAAAATCCTAGATTAGGTCCCTGGTAATAGTTGTTGTTTTAGGGACGTAAAGTGAGGATAACGGGAATGGGTAATCGGGTTATTGTTGGTTGGTGAAATTAAATATAATTATTTATTGTGGGTTGAAAACCCTATATGCTCACCAGGCTCCCAAGCCTGACCCACTCAGTTTTATTTGTATTACAGGTAGTGGCGCGAGAGCATAATTTGGATGAATCATCAAGTTATTTTGTTTATAGGCCTGTAGTTGTATATAACTGTTGTAAGGCTTATAATGTGCCGTTTATGCTTTTGGTCTGTATCGGAACATGACATCCCGAGTTTTGTTATATATGAAAATACATTTCCTTAAGAAATGATTTCATAAGATTTATTTTATGATATTTTTGTTTTGGTAACAAATTCCGCAACTCTTTTAATCAAAGGATTACTCTGAAATTATTTTAAAAAGCATAAATTAAATCGGTCTTTTCTGGCCGTGATTTTGGGGATGTCACACAGAGACACTTGTTGATGTTCAACCCTTTCTCTATAACCTCTTTGCAGATCCGGTATGTGTATTAATTCCTTTTTGAAAGTCTAAAGAAAGATTCAATGCTAATTTGGTTCCAATATTTTTCATCATGCTAACAATTTTAGTGTTTGGGACAGGATATTATCCGTCTACCAAGGTTGTTCTGTTTCCTACAACGACCGTTAGCACAAATCATTTTTGTATTAAGAGCAAGAAAAAGTAAAGAAGCTTATGATATTGTTAAGACATGCTATTGTTGATGTTTGAGTTTACTAATTGACTTTCATCTGATTTTTATATTGCATTTCATTTCAGTATATATTTATGATTATAGTTGTTTGTTGTAGGCTGCTGCTCTAAATTCAGAACTTGAAGCTAAGAAATTACCTGCTAATGTCTACATTGCAATGAGTTACTGGCATCCTTTCACTGAAGAAGCTGCCCAACAGGTAGTTAACTTATTATCATTTAATTATCCTTTTTCATTATAATTGCTCATTTGAAGACACATTTTGGAGAATAAGTGGAGACTAAGTGGTTTACCATCAACAGGGCATTTCAATTCCAACACAAAATAATAATAATAATAATAATAATAATAATAATAATAATAATAATAAATTAAAGATTACCATAAAGTGTTCATCAATTGAGATTGTTAATAATGATGTTTTTTTTATCCATGACAGATTAAGAGGGATGAGATCACGAGGCTTGTGGTGTTGCCTCTTTACCCTCAGTTTTCTATTTCAACAACTGGGTCAAGTATACGTGCACTTCAAAACATCTTTAGGTAAATCATAAATGCTTGATTTCATTTTCCGTCAGATTCTAGATTTTGAAACTCATTAATTTAAGTCACATCACAATCACATGCAGGGAAGACAAAGTTTTGTCTAAGCTTCATGTTGCTATTATCCAGTCTAGGTATCAACGATATGGTTATATCAAGGATATGACTGACTTTTATTGAAGAAGAGTTGCAAAGTTTTAATAAACCTCAAGAGGTAAGCTTCTTTGTTGATTGCTTTTAAATATTAAATACCATGAAATCTCAAAGTAAAAGTATAATAAAAAAAGGGTGAACCAAGAAATAGCAACCAATAGATGAAATTTCTCTGAATGAAGGGAAAAGTGAAGAACCAAATCAATATGCTATGCTAGAAGACGGTGAGGATTTGGAACTAAAAGAACTACAAGCAACATCAAATCCATTAACATGTTATGCTCATTGTGCAACCAATAGGTTACATGGTTGCTCCCTTTGCAAAGGCCAGGTTCATTTACTTGATACTCATTTCATTTCTTATTCTTGATTCACAAGTAAATCACATATGATTTACAAGTAAATCACATGCGATTCACATATAAATCACATGTGAATCGCACATGAATCACATTTGATTCACATATGAATCACATTTGATTCACTTGTAAATTACATGCAATTCACATACGATTCACATGTAATTCACAAATGAATCACATGTAATTCACATGTAAATCACAAGTGAATCACATATGAATTGCATGTGATTCACATGTAAATCACATGTAATTCACATATGAATTGCATGTGATTCACATGTAAATCAAATGTAATTCACATATGAATTACATGTGATTCACATGTAAATCACATATGTATTTTTGTGAGTGTTTTTGCATTAATCAATTTCTTTTTAATTTTCTTGTAGATTTGGAAGAAATTTTGGTGAATAATGAAGAGTTGAAAAATGATAAATTGAAGAAAATATGGAAATATTGACACGAAGACCTGAAAACCCTTTGAAATTTGTAGCATTTTTTTGTTTTTTATATTTTATTTTGTATCGAATAAAATACTTATTGTATTATGTTTTATAGATTAGTAAATAAAATTAGTTTTCTTATGATTTCTTTACAAATATTATAGTATACGAAATATGCATATATGCATTTGAAAAAAAGTATGCATATATGCACCTAAAATGTTGATTTTTTTGGTTAAAAAAGTTAGAGTTTTTTTTTTAAATTTACTGATTTTTTAAATATTTACTGCTTTTTTTTGAAAAAAAAGCAGTTTTTTTTAAATTGCAGTTTTTTTTTTAAATATTTTTTTTCAATTTTTTTTAAAAAAATTCATGCTTTCTGAAAAAAGTAAAAAATCTTCATTTTTTAAAAAAAAATCAAAAATTATTTTAAAAAAAAATGAAATTTGATTTATTATGTTAATTTTTAGAACATTTTATTAATATTCCATTAACAAAAAAAAAATTAAACATTAAATGAGATCGGTAAGATGACGATCATGCCCTTAATGAGTTAAATTTGATCTAACGCTCCACCTTTAGTTCTCGGATTCTCAGGAAACTATGAGTTCTCAACCGATCTCACCCTATATATATATATATATATATATATATATATATATATATATAAATTTTTAATTAAAAAAATTAGATTTATACCTGAACAAATTAATTTTTTTTTTCTAAATTGTAGATTTCTTTATAAAATATACCATGTATAAGACATATTCATAGTTTAAATATCATATTTACAGTTTAATAAAAATATTAATTCATTAATACATAGTTTAGTTTTTTCATGCAAACATTCATTCATATTTTAACATAAAATTTATATAATATATACAACTTGATACAGTCCATTTTTTAGTTTATACATAAACTCACAACATATTACAATCCATTATACATTAATTCACAAATTCAAATAAGTTAAACCCATACTCTACCACCATTACTAACGACTAGACACCGCCACCAACTATATGTGCCACTTTCGCAACTATCATTCCTTCCAAATCAGACATGTATATAAAATCATGAATTCATAGCTTAAATAATTCACTGTTTGATAAACCAATTAATTTACTAATTAAGAGTTTAATGCGAAATAATTATAAAAACTAATATATTCTTGCATATTTATACAACACAAAAAGTAAATATATTCACAAAAGAATTAATACAAACATTCATACATAAATTAGTCATATTTTAACACAAAATCCATTAAAAATTCACAGCGTAATACAATCAATTCACAATTCAGTACACAAAATTCACAACTAAATATAAAAAGTTCACAATTTAATGCACAAAAATTATACATTCACAACAATATTCTTAACTTAAAACTTACATATACCAGTAGATCTATAGGTTAATGTTTCTTTCAAAGTTTATTTACAAAAATCTTCACAATTTAAAATTTACATACTTTATTCAAAATTAGATTAAATCAAATATGCATATAATGCTACTTTCATCTTATATTTCAAAAGCAAACAAATAATTAATAAAAAAATTCACAGGTTAATACAATTATATCACAACTTAATACAATCAAACCGTGGTTTAATAAAAAACAATCACAGCTTAATATAATAATTTTAAAGTTTAATACAAAACATTATACTTCAAAGTCATATTCTCAACTTAAAACGTACATTTTAAGATTTTAATTCACAGTTTAATAAAGTAGTTTAGGTTTCTCATTCACGGTATTTGAAACTTAAAAACATGCTTGATTTTGTTAAAGCATTTCATCAAATATCTTGTGTGCACCAAACAAATTCGCAGTTTAATAAAGCATTTCAAGACTCTAATTCACAGTTTAATAAAACAGTTTAGAAATCTTATTCAAAGTATTCACAACTTAAAAACGTATTAATTCAGTCATTAAAAATCAAGATGCACAGCTTAAAAAAAATCATATTATTTGAGAAAACATTAACATAATAAAACACATTCTAATTTCAATTCACAGTATAACTATAAAACAAAAATAGTAAATAACAATTTGATGTAAATATTATAACAAATAAGAAAACAAACATTGATTCACAACTTAACAAAATTAAAAACCATGATTAACAAAAATAAACAATAAATGAGATATTAAAACATTAAATTCACAGCTTAACAGAAGGCAAAAAAAAATCGACATACCTGATATGTTTCATTAGAGATCAGAGAGAAAGGGATGGAGGAGGTGGCGGTGCTGGAACATATCTAAGGCAGTGGAACTCCCATCAGCCACTGTTATTACTGTTATAACTTCAGATCTATACATGAAATAACATCACACAAAGTAGATCTAGAAAAATCGAACCACATTCATCAGATCTGACCAGATCTAAACGTGATGTCGACAGTAGGAGGTTGTGGTGGACATCAGTGGTGGTAGCGATGGTGGAAACGAAGTTGATGGTGATGAAGGTGGTATCAGATCTGACCAAATCGCACCAGATCTGAGATGTTTTGCGTTTTAGAGAGGGAAAGTTAAGCTGAAACAACTTTGTGACTCGAGACTAGGTGGCGATTGATGGTGGATATGGATGTATTTTCATCAAATCTTATCAGATCCGTGTTTCCGTTGGTGGTAGATTAACGACATGGAAGAAGAATTTGTGTTGACAGTGATGGACGAAAGTGGTGGTTATGCCGCACACTGGAACTTATAAATCTAAAGGAAAAAATCATAGATCTGAAGACGAAAGTCGTAGATCTGAAGAAGAAAATCGTAGATCTGAAGTTGCAAATCATAGATCTGAAGCTAAAAATCGCAGATCTGAAGCTGAAGTTCTAGATCCGGAGCCAACCGGAGCTTGTGGATCTGATGGTTGTGGTTCACCGGTGGTAGGAGGCGGCGGCAGTTCGTCGGCGGCAGGAAGCGACGACACTACGGGGTTGGTGGCTGGTGGCAACCAGTGATAATGTTTGTTTGTTCTTCAAGTTTGAGATGAAAGTGGTCTTCATATGAGAGTGTATAAATCAAAAATAATAAAAGATGAAAGTGACTTCTTATGTTATACCTTAATAAAAAAAAGTTTCTTAACCTTTAGGGGTTTTCATTTGATCTTTTATATATATATATATATATATATATATATATATATATATATATATATATTGAATATTACTTTGGGAAAAGTGAATAGATGTAATTAGGGAAAAAATAAGAAATTATGTTAAAAAGCGTATTCACTAAACGAGTAAAATTGATGGATTAAAAAGCTTGTTCACAAAACGAAAACTAGATCAACATAATCCGATTTTGGTACTACAAAGTATTAAATTCAACAGAAATTGGTGTATTCATCGAAGTAAAGTAGAATGCTACTCAAATTTATGTGGAACATATCTTTGCAGCAATTCTTCAAAGTCAGTTGTGTCTCTGTATAATCATGATCCATGTTTATAGTAACCTTATACAAGAATCTCGATTTCTCTAATGATAACTAAGATAACACATAGGAACAAAATTCAGGGATACTGAAGCATGGAGACGACGATCTTCAGTTTATTATCTTTAATGACGGATTAGATAACTTTTTTCATATTAGAATAGCTTATATTATGGAAATAATCAAATTTGAGATTACCATGCTACTCCTACCGTTAATATACAAAAGTTACAACTTGATGACAATACTTTCACAAATTTAAATAAATAGCATACTGATAGTAGCACAAATTTAAATAAATAGCATACTGATATTAGCCTTAGAACAATATTATTGGAGGGTTCAAATCTGTCCTCATGTTGTCAACCTTTTTGGTTATCTGATTATAATCTTATTCTGATATTGAAAATACACAAATAAACTTCAAGTCCCAAACAAGAAAGCTCTATAAGCAGGTAGCCACAAACGCTTATATCTTTTTCTTGTTGCTATATAAAATATACCATATCACTGCAAAAATTGTTAAAAATCATTTCAAACTGATACAATTGGAATCACACATTCGCGTATACAGTTATCATATATCATCGCCTATAAATAACATGCAAAAATTGTTGAAAACATCATAACAGCTTATTACCTACAGAGGATGCAACATCCAATAATCTTCAATATATTCTTGTTGTGTAAGAGTATCATTTTCCATTTGTGGGGTCCATAACACCTCCACTGCCTGTAAATTGACAAAATAGTTAGCATACCCAACACAAAATAAATAAATAAATAAATAAATAAATAAAGAAAAATTCTAGGCAAGAATAATCTATCGGTCTCACCATAATTCTGCTTGAAGGGATAGATGCTATCTTTTGCAATGCTTCTTTTAATTGTGCACTACTGTTTATAGGCGGCAGTTTATGTTCGCCACCGGCCGCCACAATGATTGTAATCTTCAACCACCAAATACATGTTTTTAGTCAACAAATGATATACATTACTGCTTCTTTGACTTAATGCAGAAATAAACGTGTTGATAGGGAAAGTGTTTGGCTTGGGAATTAATGGAAAAATCTGAATAAAAAGAGAAAAAGAAACACTTTTCAAAAGTACTGACCACAATATACTCGTTACGGAATCCATTAGATCTTTTACTTCTTGCACTTTGCTTTCTGATGTTGTTGACATTGACTAGAGTCTCTTCATCAAATTTACCCCTTTCTTCAATAGAAAATTGATTAAATATTTTCTCAACTTCCTCTATGCTCCACTTTTCATCCACCTGGACCAAACTAATAAACCAAATCCCAAACATTTAATAAACGATGTTTGTTAGTCTATAAATATAGGTTCGATAGAAAGTTGATTAAATATTTTCTCAACTTCCGGTATCAAAACAAAGTTTAAAAAAAGTGTTTGGATTAGCTTATACAATATCAAAATGTAATAAGCTGATAAGTTGTTTTTTAATGTTTGACAATTTCGGCTTATAGACGTAAAATGACCAATAAGGGTCAAATAACTATTTTTAATTTTAATTTACCCAAACTAAAAACAGTTTATTAGCGGTGTAAAACTGCAATAAGCTAATAAGCACTTTGAAAAAACGATCCCATACACCCCCTTAATCCAAAAAGAACTACTTAATATTAAAACAAGAAAATGAGATAGTGAAGTGCATACAAATGAATAACCAGAGATGCAATAATCAGGATGTCGAAGTAGAGCTAGTGTTGTCTCTGCAACCAAAACAAATTCACTTTAAACATCAATCACAAGATCATATGACTAGTTAAGACTCAAGATTTATAAATGTTTTTGCATAATTAGATGATAGATAATGATAGATATCGATGGTGCTTCACATATCCAAAATGTATATATAACATGTAAACATTATTCATTACCTTGTAATATATAGCTCAAGCCCCAAGGGCTGGATGTATCAGCGGTCTCGGCAATCTGATTGAGATCCCTTTGCAGTGATTTAGCCGTGCCCAATAATCCAACCTTAAAAAACACAAAGTATAATAGTAGTTACTCATCACTGAATAAGCAATAAAAATCGATCATTTTTTAAATGCTAATGCTAAAATTCGGACGACATTAAAAATTTGGACAACATTATAAAATTCGAATGACTATATAAAACAGAACAAAAGCAAAGTTTGTATAGTGCATTATGCAGATTGAAATCATTTAGTTGAGCAATTGTATACCCATGCTACCGAATATTCTGATTTGTATGTACGGAGAAGTCTGGACAAAACATTAGGCATTGGATATACTCCTTGTAAATCAGCCATTACATAATGGTTAGGATGAATTGCAATTTATCAATAGACATAATGGTATCGGTTTGTTTTTAAAATAAAGACAAATTTTGCTTTTGTTCCATTTTATATATCCGTTCGAATTTTATAATGTCATCCGAATTTATAATGTTGTCCGAATTTTAAAATATCATATGAATTTTATATTGTTATCGAATTCTATATTGGTTAAGGAGGTACTTATAGCACAACCCAGTTATACATGGCGAAGATACCTGCAGCTTGAGAACACTTGTTTTCTCGGCAGGCGGAGAAGGTGACCTTGAGGATCTTCCATCCGTTTGAGTTGCCCATCGCCGAATATACAACAAGCAAAATCATTATCAAAAAGAACAAGAATATTGGAATATCATCAACTCCAACCTCTGGCCTACTACAACCACCTTCAACAGACGTTGAAGACGAATAATAAGTATCTGACGTTTTCTGCCGTTTAGACGAATAAGAATAATCTGACGAAGGCCTTGTAGACGACGAATAGGAAGAATCTGACGACTTCGGCCTTGTAAAAGAAGAAGACCGATTAGAATAATCTGAGGATGACGGCCATGTAGACGAAGAATAAGAAGAATCTGACGAAGATGGCTGTGTAGATGAAGAAGACCAATAAGAAGAATCTGACGAGGTCGGCCTAGACGAAGAAGAAAATGAGCTCCCACCCGTTCGCCCACCGGAAGCAGCCAAAGCAACGCAGCCATGTTGACGATTGTACAAAATTAACAATCCCAATAAAACCCCCGTTACGACGGGAAGTTGTAAGGCCTTCTGGATATTTTTTATTGATCTCCAAAACACTTCATTAGCAACCGCTTTAATATCGTTATCCTCTCGGCATGGATTTCCACCAATGCCATATTCCCCTTTGGGCTTAGGGCTCATAAAGAAACATTTAATTCTCAGTTTCGAGGAATACCTGATCACCTTGTAAGGAGAGTAGTTCAACTTGAAAACATTATTATTGCCAGACGACAATTTGATTGGGAAAGACCGAAGTGGGGGCAAACGGAACGTCTGTTGGAGCGAAGGGTTGAAAGTGAACCTGGTTTCTAGCAGGAAAGGTGTGTTCGCCATAGAGGAAGTCGGATGTTGCAGAACAATCAAGAGTAGGATTTGTGATGGGAATTTGGTGGCGGCCGTGGTCGACTGTCGTTGTTGTTTCTTTTCAAACAGAAATCCGTCAATTTTATTTTTTATTAATATAAAGGGTTTTTTTTTTAATATGTGCCCTAAGGCACATATAAAAAATAGTAATTATAGTAATGTGTTTTAAGCTAGGATTCGATATTAAATAACAAAACTGTTTTATTTTTTTTCCATATACCTTTCTATTATTCCTTAAAATTTTATATTAGGTTCCGTTTGATAGATATCTTTTCAGGTTTAAACAAATCTTTCTAATTGAATGGATTGGAAAAAAATGTTTGATATGCACAAAAAATAGGTCTTTCCAGGTAAGATAGAAAACTCTAAAAACATATCTTTCTAGCTGAATAGGCTGGAAAGACAATTGTGCCCCAAACTCCGCATTTTTCTTTCTTGAATTATTAATTTCTTTTTAATAATTTTTGTAAGTTTTTTTTTATTGAATTATTACTTTTTATTGGATTATTATATATTAACAAATATTATTTTGAATATATAATATTTATGTATTAATTGATATTATTTTAATTGATTATTAATTTTTTTAAATAATTCTGTTTTTATTTCCTTTTTATGGATTAATTCTTTTTTATTCGATTATTATATACTAATAAATATTATTTATAAATATATAATATTTTTTTTGAACGACTGAATATAAATATATAATATTTATATATAATAACTATTACTTTATTGGATTATTAATTTCTTTTTGTTAATTTTTATAATTCATTTTTATTGGATTAATTCTTTTTTTTTGGACAACACCATCATCCTAATATATTTTAAAAAACTTTCATCCATTTTACCGCTATCGGACATAAACCGGGTCAAGAATCACATGTTGAGTTATAAAAAATATTGGCTAGAAAGAATAACAACATAACATCAACTTGAAAAACAATAAATTAAAAACAACTTAATTGACATTCTATTTGAATTTTTAAATGATTATTGTGTAATTTTGATTTTGTATGACAATTTGTATGTTTTTATAATTATTCAGCAACTTCATCCATCACAGTATAGAACAGTAGGGTAATATTGTATTTTTTTTTATCATTCAGCACAGTCAATCAAATGTACAATCAAACAACATGGTTTCTTTCTCACTCAGAAAACTTTCACATACAACACTTTTCCAGACAACATTTTCCCAGACAGAAACTATCAAATGAGACCTTAGTTAATTTTTTTTTTTAATTCTCTCTATTTTTTCCTCCACTCACCATAGTATATTTTCGTTTTAGTTCCTTTGTATATTCCATGTTTATATGTTGACCTTTTAATTCTTCTTTTTACATTATATCTTCCTGTCATTTTTCTTAAACAACTAATAGCTTTTGATTTTTTTTACATTATATTAATTCAATTAATGCCATTAAAATATGGAACATTGAAAACAAAAATAAAAGGATTTTCATATGATAACAAAAAGTAGAGTTTAATAGTAATATTACAATTTAGCATTTAAAATAAAATATCGGATTGAAATCTTCACTCTGCATATCATGTTTCTTTTTTTAGCCACTTGTTGAGCATTATTAGACTCGCGCTCTGGACATGTGTCGAAGTTATGGCTAGAAGATTTGCAAAGTCTGCAACGCTTTACTTGTCTTGCTAATTCATTTTCATTTTTCATTTGCTTTTGCTTAGATCGTCCTTTTGTTTTTGAGATAACTAGGCATCGAACCAACTCAGTTGCATTAGTTACAAGATCACTATTGTTTCCACAAGATGACGAAGCATCAACATTTCCTTCTAGGTGTAACTAAGAAATTTCATTAAATTGAGCATCTTTTCGACTCCAACGAGACAAGCAAAATTAGAAGGAATTTCAAAGGAGCCTTTATGGAGAAGAACACTTAAGATGTGATGATAAAGTATCCTGAAAAATTCAAAATTTTTGCAAGTGCATTTAGCCATCTTACCATCCCAAACCACCTGATGTCGTTGAGCCGCTTTGTAATGTTTGACAATAAAACTTGTGCAATTTTCTTACCGAGCCGAATATTGAATCGTTTGAGCAAACTGATCTTGAAACTTTTTGAATGCGTATGGAGTCAAAACTTGGTAGCCTTGTTTTTCTAATGGTGATAATGATCTCAAATGCAACTCTTGATATTTTGACAACATACTATCATGCATTTGTTTATGCGCAACATCTTCAATGACAAGATCAACCTATACAATTATAAGTAAAAGGACTAATTAAAAAATGTTTAACCTAAAAAAATATAATAAACTAAATACTAGTACTTACTTGTCTAATAAACTCAATTAGACATGTATGGGAAGATATAATTTTTTTTTATAAATGAATTTATGCTCTTTGATCTTCCGGTAGTCGTCATGCCACCAAAGAAATGCCACAAAGATAACTTGGAACCAAAAGTTTTTAATCTGGTACAATGTCGTCACAGGCTTACTCTTTTCAAGATTGTATTTTGCAATTACTAACGCACATTGTTGCTCAAATTCTTCAACCGAATCTGACTTACATAAGTTGTAAAATTTAGTGCACCAACTTGAGTATTCACTTCTTAGCACCAAAGTAAACCATCTACTAAACTTAGTGGTGATGTGCCATACGCAAAATGCATGTTTAGTATAAGGCATCTTCGTTTCAATTGCTTGTTTCATCCAAGGATCTTGATCGGTCAATATCGTTTTCGGTGACTTATTCATCAATAGAGTAAAATTATGAAATTAAAGTAAACTTAATAAATATAATCACATAATAATGCTAATAGGTTTAAAAAAATCACACAAAAATATACTTACCTTAAAGAGCCATTTGAATGTGTTTAGTTTCTCGTTACGTAGAAGTGCACAACTAAACAATATAGTTCTTCCATGATTGTTAATACCGACAAATATGCCAAATGACATGTCATATGAATTCACCTTGTATGTAATTCTTCCATGATTCTCAACATCTCCATATTGAAAATTAAGATTTTCATTTTTAGCACTTTTACAGTACTCTAAAAGCTCCCTTGCATCATTTTGTGAGTAAAGTTGACGATTTTTGGTAAAAAGGTTATAAACATCCTTCTTAAGAAAAGAAAGCTCTCCATGTCTCACATTCCTTTCACGCTCAATCACCCGTATAATTTGTGTATCGGACAAACCCCCTTCTTTTAATAAAAGTATGTATTTTTCATTTTCTAATGTAATATTACGGTAAGATGGTAAAAAACGAACCTCTTGAGCAGACAACAAAACATGATTATGCTCCACAACAATCTTAGTGACTTGCCACTCTTCAAGGAAAATTTCGTTAATTCTTCTCAATTTTATACGCATTTAAGCCTTGCATTCACATCTTGTATAACCACGGTTTCTTGGTTTTTTTTGTGTAATCTTTTTTAAACTCTAGTTTTCCTTCATGATGACAAAAAAGTCATGTCTTCTCCATTCTTCGGTTTTATTGTCCACGAACCTTTCTTTTCGAACGGAAAACCTTTTCTTTCTCGCATAATTTTTATAAAAATAAGAGTCTCTTCTTCCCTTAGAAAATATTGAACAACGAACGGTTCACCAAAAATTACGTTGTTGTTTTGACTATGTTCTTCAATAGCAGTTTCTTCATGCCGAGCATTTATGGAGTTTTCTTCCATAGGAACTTCAGTAAGATCAAAAAAGATGTGTATGTGTTCTTCCATCTAGAAATGTCATCAAAATGCTAAGCTAAAAGTTATTATTTGTTCAAGAAAAATGACAGAAGATATAATGTAAAAAAAAGAACTAAAAAGATCATATATAAACATGGATATATGTAATCATATTAGAAGGAACTAAAACTATATATATATATATATATATATATATATATATATATATATATATATATATATATATATATATATAGAGAGAGAGAGAGAGAGGGGGGGGGGGGGGGGAAATGGAGGGAAGTAAAAAGGTAAATTAATTAATATGAAATTTTAGAATAGAAATAATAGAAATGTAAATATGAAAAAGAAAAAAAACAGTTTGCTAATTAATACATAATCATAGTTCTAATAAAAATATTACCATAATTACTATTTCTTAAATGTGCCATTAGGGGCTAGGGCACATATTAGAAAAACCCTAATACAAATAATGCTTTTAAAAGAATCTATACGTATCTATAATTTATTTAGGATATCTTGTGTAACACTCCAAAAATCAAGAAATATAAAATTTTTAAAATCGACCATTTAACAACATTGTTTACAAAAGCCAAATGGACTCATTGTTTCAAAACATTATCAAAATTAGAGTTTTCCCAAGACCCAGTGATATAAAACAGGAAGTTGTGTACAATCATGCCTTTGCCTTCCCACGATCCTCAGAAGTACGCGAAACGATAAACTAAAAACTGTAAGCCAAAGCTTAATGAGTTCCTCCAAAGTAACAGCACACCACATGGCAAACAAGCATACAAATATGAGCAGGCAGCCTGACAGGAGCGCCTCGCAGGGCCTACAGCCTATCTGGACTGCTCTACGAGCCTTCAGAAGGACTGGACCGCCTCGTAGGGCCTACAGCCTATCTGGACCGCTCCACAGGCCGTCGGCCTGTCTGGACCGCCTCACAAGGCCTACAGCCTTTCCGATCATCCCCAAGTGTCTTGGCCTACAGCACAAAGTAGGACCATCTCAACCTAACAAAATATGTCGACATATACAACAGATAAACATAAACACGGAACTAGCAAATACATATAATCATACAGATCTACCTAACAGTCATATACTAGCATATAACTATCCTAACCAGGATACAAAATCTAGTGGGCCGGCATTGGTGCCTTTGACCCACGGTACAGTGTGGAAAACTCACATCTTAGTCTGAATGCAAGCTGAATAAATCTCGCTCTCAAAAAATCGGCTCAACGATCACCTAACCAAAACCAAGGACCTCTTCTTAATTAACAG